AGGCATATTTTGATTACCTTCAGACCTACGATCATCAAACTTGGTCAGCAGATGCATCTTGGGACTTTGAAAAATGTTGACTGAAATGTAGGTCACGGTGACCTACTTTTGACATTTTATGGCTTTATTTAAGTATCTTCGGTATTTATTGGCTAAGAATCATCAAACTTTGTGAGTTGATGCATCTTGGGTTTTCGGAGAGTGACGACCAAAAAGTAGGTCACGGTGACCTACTTTTGACATTTTATAGCTTTATTTTATGTATCTTAGGTATTTATAAGCTTAGAATCATCAAACTTTGTGAGTTGATGCATCTTGGTTTTCGGAGAGTGACAACCAAAAAGTAGGTTATGGTGACCTACTTTTGACATTTTATAGCTTTATTTAAGCATCTTAGGTATTAATAAGCTTAGAATCATCAAACTTTGTGAGTTGATGCATCTTGGGTTTTCGGAGAGTGACGACCAAAAAGTAGGTCATGGTGACCTACTTTTGACATTTTTTAGCTTTATTTAAGTATCTTAGGTATTTATAAGCTTAGAATCATCAAACTTTGTGGGTTGATGCATCTTGGGTTTTCGGAGAGTGATGACCAAAAAGTAGGTCATGGTGACCTACTTTTGAATATCTCGGATACATATTGGCTGAGAATCATCAAACTTTGTCAGTTGATGTATTTTGGGCTTTCGAAAATCACCTACTAAAAATTAGGTCACAGTGACCTAATTTTAATATTTTATGGCTATAATTAAGTATCTCCAGTACTTATTGGCTTGGAATAATCAAACTTTGTCAGTTGATGCATTTTGGTTTTTCCAAGAATGTAGATGAAAAGGTAGGTCAAAGTGACTTACTTTTGACTATCTCACATACTTATTGGCTTAGAATCTTCAATCTTTGTCTATTAATGCATCTTGAGTCCTCAGAAAACTTCAATCTTAAAGTAGGTCATTGTGACCTACTTATGGTTTTTTTTTTTATAGCTTTATTAAAATATCTTCAGTTATAATTGGCTAAGAATCATCAAACTTTGTCAGTTGATGCAACTTGGCTCTTAGAATACTTAGGGTTAGAGGCTTCAAATAGAAGTGATAGGTTAATTGTACAATTTATAAGAAGAGCGATTCAAGGCCCTTGGGCCTCTTGTTCTTAGTCAATAATGCTCAGGTGAGCGATGTGGCCAATGGGCCTCTTGTTATTGTTTTTAAGAATGGAAGAATTAGAAGGACACAGGTCTGACAGGACATTGACATGGCATGAACATGTGCTAATGCACATGACATGATAACCTAGAGAAATTATCTAACGACCAACACGTCCGTTATCTTTTGAGCGACCCTGTAACTTTTCTATTATTGAAAGCATGGAGGTCACAGGAGCTACACAGATACCCGCCATCTCAGAACTTGCAGCAAAGGCAAAAAAGGCCTTTGTTGACAAATTTGGGTGTGAACCACAATGTGCAGCTTATGCCCCGGGGAGGGTCAACCTCATCGGGGAACACACCGACTACAACGAGGGATTTGTTTTCCCCATGGTTTGTGCATTATTTCATCATCATATCTATCATGCATGACGCGTCATCATTTTACTTCAGGTAAAAAATATTTTTTTTTTATTTCAAAACCTGAGAACTTAGTATTTTCATATCAATAAGCTGATGAAACATGAATGAACATAGAGATCTGTAATAGTGAACACAAAACTCAAAAGCTTCCTTGACAGGTATTTAATGCGGGACTCGGAATATATGAGAAATATTCTATTTATAAAACTTTAAAATAAAAAGACATATTTGTGTAGTAGTTTCGGAACTGTTTTTTATGAATGTAAATTGGGAACTGTTCATCGGACTCCATAAAACGAGCTCATAAAACGGTAAAAACGGGCTTGTGTTTGATTTACTTTCATTGGTTGGATTTGTCACACCTCTTGATTCTACAGGGTCTATCAAAAGTATGATACATACGTGATCCAGATTTTCATCGTCCTTTGATTGCAATTTCAGGCACTTCCACAAGTAACTGTTTTCGTTGGAAGAAAGTCAGAAGGGAATGTCTGCCGTGTTCTTACTCTTGCCGATTCGGTTGATGCCCCTAATTATGTGGAATTCCCAGTCCCTTCAGCTGAGACGCCCTTAAAGCCTGGCACACCAAAGTGGGCAAACTATGTCAAAGGGGTTGTGGCAAATTACAAAGGTTTGTCAATTCATATTCTATCAAAGACCAAAGTCTCGAAAGTATGTATAGGCCAATTGTGATATTCATTTAACTGTAACCATGGTTACAGGTATAAAATTACCCGTTAATTAATATGCTTTGTACTATAATATCATACTTAAAACCAAATTCGCTAGACAAGGGTTTCCGATCCAAAATATATCTGCTGTAGAGAAAATTTCAGATCGGTAACCCTTGGCTAGCAAAGATGACTTGCAATTATAAATTAAAAGAATGTTTTGGGTCATTTACTAATATTAAAGCTTATTTGTTGATAATTTAATTAATTGCTTTCAATTTCTGCTTACTTCATCACCTCCTCATGTTAGCATTTTTGGTTGATGGAAGTTTGCACAAAGATAAAAGTCTTTCCCACATTTCAGGAAAGATAAAAACAGTCCTCCTACTGAAAGAGAATTTTTTTATTCCAGGAAATGTTGTCCCATTTGATGCGGTTGTGATTTCCTCAGTACCTCTAGGAGGGGGCGTGTCTAGCTCCGCCTCCCTAGAAGTAGCCACCTATACCTTTCTGGACGTCCTCACTAATGGTGGAGCAGACGTATCTAAGAAAGACAAGGCTCTGGCTTGTCAGAAGGCAGAGCATGAGTTTGCAGGGATGCCCTGTGGAATTATGGACCAGTTTATTTCTGTCATGGGACAAGAGGGTCATGCTCTACTTATAGATTGCAGGTAAAGATGGAGGTTTTCAGTAGGCCCTGTAACCTTGAAACAAGGACAAAATCATTTGTACAGTTACAGATTTGTACAGCTCAAATGTTTTCCCATCCAAAACCTACAAAGTTGCACAGCAAAAATGCCTTAAAATGAAATTGTCAATTAAATTGGCAAAAATAAACAAGTAAAAAGTCATTTTATTTCTTGTATAGGTCAATGGAGGGTCAACTGGTTCCCATGAATGACCCAAATGTGGTTGTCTTGGTAACCAATTCCAATGTCAAGCATGAATTAACGGGCTCGGAATATCCAACCAGGAAGAAGCAGTGTGAAGTGGCGGCCCAGCTGATGGGAAAGAAAAGCCTTAGGGAGGCCACCATGAAGGATTTAGAAGGCATGAGATCAAATCTAGCTTACTCTTTCCAATTGATTTTGAAGAATAAGTGCTTTATTTTGATATCAAAATTAGTATTTTTCTATGTGATTGAGCAGCAAATGATGGGGTGTGATATTTATTGAAAGAAATAATTTTTACAGAAATTTTCTTTTTAAGTTTGACCTTTAAATGAACTTTCAGAAAGGGTTCCCTCTCTAGAAGACTGTTTTGTGGTCTAAAATAGCAAATTTCTGTTCCTTTTAAATGTTCAGTCAATAGCTCCTAACAAAAATGAACAATTTATCTTTTAGAAATGAAAAGTAAACTCGATGATGTGACGTATAAGAGAGCACGTCATGTAATAGGGGAGATAATTCGCACAGAAGAGGCAGCTAAATGTTTGGAGCTCGGAGATTACAACAGATTTGGAAAACTCATGGTGGAGAGTCACAATGCATTGCAGTAAAAATTCAATGATTTTCTTTTACAACTTCTATATCAAATCATCTTTGCTATTAAAAATAAGAACATAATTTGATATATTTGCTCACAGCAACGAACTAATCTAGGTTCTCATCTTGGCACTTTTAAATTCAGTTACACAGGAAGGAAAGTTGATCCTATGAATTTTTTTTACAAGGAGGTTTTTTTAACCGCTTGTAAGTTTTGTCATTACACATCTAAGATCATTGTAATATTTCTTTTTTTTTGTTTATTACAGAGATGACTACGAGGTATCTTGTCCAGAGCTAGACGAGCTGGTTTCAGCAGCGATGGAGGTAGATGGGGTGTATGGATCCAGAATGACTGGGGGTGGATTCGGGGGGTGCACCGTTACTCTGCTGAAGAAGGAGGCAGTGGAGAAGGCCATCCAGCATATACAGGTCAGTGAAGGGAGGGTACTGGCAAAAAGTAAGACAAGGATTCATACCCCCTCCCTTTCAGGGGAGTTGTGGGTACATCCCCTTAACTTTTGGATTATCTCTTAATTTGATCAGTGTTTCGAGGTTCTATTTCACATATGCTTAATAAATTATCTGTTGAAATTCAAATCTCAAAATCATATGGATCAAAGATCAAAGCAGCATCATGTTTCAATGTTGAATATCTTGAGTTGATTCATCTAAGTTATTCATTTTCACTTGCTCAATGCTTAAGGTAGGAAGGAAAATCCTGTTACGTAACTGCTAAGTCAAAGTGAAGGTCACTGAAAACTGTGCCTGCAAATGATTTATGTTATTTTCTCACAGTATTTTAAATATTATTAAAAATAATACAACATTCATATCAATTTAAAGGTGAAAAGTTTAAGGTCAAGGCCATCTTTATTAGGCAACTTCTACATGATTTCAGAGCCTTACTGGTTCGTAAAATCCACCTGTGACGTCATTCTTTTGTTTGAGCGCTCCATTACTTTTAAGGAATGGAGAGTTGCAAATTACATTGAAAACGGAATTCGTTATGGTCTTATTCTCCTTTCCGTGCCTCTTCCAAGGAAAGAACTTAGAAAATTTTAGAGAAGAGTTTTAGAAAATTGTAAAGGTTAGTTTTACATTAAGAAAATTAGATCACCAATGATGAGAATCGAATCCGGTACCCTCACCATAGCAATCCGATGCTCATTTCACTGAGCTAACGAAGCTGTTGAGAAACATGGGTTTAGATTAACTTCAGTACACTTTTTATAGTTTTATTTCTATATCATATATAAATAATAATATTGATATGTAAACAGTATTTACAATGTATCATATAAATATTCTTTATTATGTATTAACAAACAATAAAAACAAGCATTCAGAAAGGCGGATTTTACGCCGGTTAATATACTCGTAGCGCTCCATTCCTTAAAAGTAATGGGCCTCGGCCCCTTCGGGGCCTCGGCTCCATTACTTTTAAGGAATGGAGCGCTACTCGTACATTAACCCTTACTTAATGTGTTCTGTCAAATAATGTCCCATATTTAGCCATGCACTTGCTAGCATTGTCTTAGTTTATCAATCTAAAACATTCAACAGTCATGTCTGTTTCATTGTGGATGAATTATGAATGATGACTAATGTAAACAATTCCAATTCTTTGCACAATAGGGGTTTTGACTGAACTTATATATATTTTCTAAAATTAAGGATTGTGTTCTTTTTAACTTTTCCTTTTAAGCATTGAAAATTAAAGTTGTGTTATTATGCCCACAAGTACAGAATAATGCTGTATTTTTTTAGCTCTACTGGTCAGAGACCAGAAGAGCTTATGCGATAGTAAGGTGTCCGTCGTCCGTCCGTCTGTCTGTAAACAATTTTTCAAAACGCTATTCCTCCTACAGTTTTGGTCTGATTTTAATATTACTTGGCACACAAGTAGACTACACTAAGATACATTAAATAGTGAATCGGTTTTTGATTTCGATGAACGGTGTTGCCATGGTTACTAAAAATAGAATTTTCTGTGAAATTCCTTTAAAACGCTACTGTTTCTACAGTTTTGATCTGATTTCAATATAACTTGGCACACAAGTAATCTACACTAAGATACATAAAATAGTGCATCGGTTTTTGATTTCGATGAACGGTGTTGCCATAATTACTAAAAATAGAATTTTCTGTGAAATTCTTTCAAAACCTACTCCTTCTACAGTTTTGTTCCGATTTCAATATTACTTGGCACACAAGTAGACTACACTAAGATACATAAGATAGCGCATCGGTTTTTGATTTCATTGAATGTGTTGCCATGGTTACTAAAAATAGAATTTTCTTTAAAATTTCTTTAAAACGCTACTCCTTCAACAGTTTTGGTCTGATTTCAATATTATTTGGCACACAAGTAGACTACACCAAGATACATAAAATAGTGCATCGTTTTTTTTATTTCAATGAAATGTGTTGCCATGGTTACTAAAAATAGAATTTTCTGTGAAATTCCTTTAAAACACTACTCCTTCTACAGTTTTGGTCTGATTTCAATATTATTTGGCACACAAGTAGACTACAATAAGATACATAAAATAGTACATCGGTTTTCGATTTGATGAACAGTGTTGCCATTGTTACTAAAAATAGAAATGTCTGTGAAATTCCCTTTAAAAAGCTACTCCTTCTATAGTTTTGGTCTGATGGCAATGGCTTCTTTTCTCATCCTTTGTTTTAAGTACAAACCAGTAGAGCTACAGTCTCGACAGAGACTTCTGGTTTCTTGAATAATCCTACTTAATTGTAAATAATAAAGTACATTTTACTCAACAAAAAGGAATTTAAAAATTGAACCAAATTATGAGGATAGTAATTTTTGAGAATTTTTTTTCAATTTCTTTTAATTAACAGATAGTGCACATATTTATCAAATTATCAAATGAATATCTTCCATTGAATTGAATTTAGTTAACCAAAGATATGAGAAAAAGAATGTGATTTGTCTTATGGTATTAATTATCTAGCCTGAGGCCGCAAGATTCAGAGCTTAAATTTTCCATAATGTTATCTGTCAAACTGGTCACCGTACCAGTAAAACTACGGTACATGTATTTCATGAAAGGTACATGTATGCCACATCTTATGTGTTATATTCATTATACTTGTACTTTTTTCTTAATAGATTTGATTAACAATTCAAATTTTCTTTTAAAAATTCATTCACGTCTAGGAACAATTTTAAAATAATAAATGAAATTGATAATAAAATAATAAATGAATTAATTTGAAGTTCTTCTTCATTAATCATAATTAACTTTGTAATTCACTGCTATATTTAGATGATGTGTAGAAATTTTATGCCACATACAATCCTTGCTTGTGTTTTATTCATATAATACATGTAACTAGCACGTAAAAAAAAAATGCATGAAGAATTGTTATTTTAAATTTGTGTCTATCTGCGACCTTTCAGAAGCGCTACAGTCAGACGGCGACATTCTATGTGTGTCCCCCAGCATCGGGAGCTGCCCCCCTGTCCCTAGCCTGAGGTCACTCTGTGTTCTGTAGCTGGAGATTCCATCGTTCAATTTGGGATTACTTTGTTATGCTAGCCAAAGTGTATTGATTTCTACAACTTCTTGTGATTAATATATACTGAATCTCATGTGTAAAATAGTAGGTTTTATTTATATAGTATAGTACATGTATATAGAATGAATATTAGTATCTTGAACACAGATATCTCAAATACCATGGATATTTCAAAGTGATGTGAAAGTCCCAACCATTAATTCTTGAAGTATTTTACCCCCGATAGGCTGATACATGTATATGTAATACTCAAATATCTTGGAAGTTTTTCTTGGTCCCATTGAGTTTGAGATAGGGTTTGACTGTATACTGATATGTACTGGTACATGTAACTTTATTAATTTAGATTCAACTATCTGAGTAACAATGTTTGACATGATTTATCCTGCAGTGACTTTATATAAAATGTACAAAAGATAACTTCGATTCAAAAATATTTAAACGGTCTAATTTTCATTGAAATAAGTACTGGCAAATTTTTATTGTATCTATGTGTGAACAAATACATGTACTTCAGAATCTGTATTTATTTACAAATTCTTACGGATGTTAAAAAACAATTTACGTAACTTAGTGTTATAAATATAGTAGCTAGTTTTCTGCATAATGGTTTTCCACACAATATGTCTGTCTTTCATTTTATTGTTAACAAATATTCCAGATGTTAAGAATCTCTTAATTAATGAGTACATTTTAGAATGTGTTACATTTTGTAGAAGTGTAGATTGTATTTGAGGGAACCTGTATTTTGGCTGGGCAATAAAAGTATGCAAAATATGTGTGATCGTGTGAAGTGATGACATGTAATGAATAGGGGAAGGTCATATGCTTTGAGGACAGTAAAGAATAACTGAAACTAGTGCTAATTGTAACGGGGACCGTAACAGATGTTCCCCAAACGCTCCCCAACTCCCTTTTGGTGCCATATTCCCTGTAAGCTTCATTAAATAGGACAAAATCTATGCATTTGAGACTTTAACAACGTCAAGTTCATTCAAATTTTAGCATTGCAAGCGTGCGCATGTGAATGCATGTGCGTAATGACCATATCATCTTGTCTACACAATCTATATGTTTTTTTTATACTAAATATTAAAGTATTTAAACCAAAAGTATAAAAAAAAAAAATACGCTCATTCAAGTGTATTTTTCATTTATCTAATTTCATGTGCACGCACGTGCATACATGAGCATGGTAACCATATCTTCTTGTAGAAGTCCTTTACATCTATCTATGTTCTAAATCCCATCCTGTTTGGTTGAAAACCAAGGGAGTTATAGCTATTTAAAGTTTAAGCCAATCAGATTGCAGCACACGTGCATGCACGTGTTTTCATGATAATTGCTATATATCATGTTGTCGGATATCTGAATGCATGGCTATGTTCAAAATTTCATAGGATTTCGTCGAAAAACAAGAAAGATATAGAGACTTTAGTTTCAGCCAATCAGAGCGAAGAGCACGTGCATGCGCATGAGATCTTGCGTTTTTGATCATGTCACCTTGTCTACGCTACTAATATATCCTTACACTATAAATTTCAAAAGATTTCATCAAAAAGTAGAAAAGTTACGGCTATATCCATTATATTGGTCATTTCACATGTTGCACGTGCGCGTTCTTGCAAGCACGTGCGGGCAAAATCGCATGTTGACAATGTCATCTTATCTACATTTATAATATGTCTATATATTCTAAATATCAAAGCATTACATCAAAAAAAGTAAAAGATACGGCAATTTCAAGTATATTGGTCATTTCACATGTTGCACGTGCGCGCTCTTGCAAGCACGTGCGCGCAAAATGACCTTCGTTCCGCAAATCTACATAACATGCCTACTTATCCTAAAAAGGTTTCCCCTTAATTGGATGTGTACTTGACAAGATCATTCGCGGACAAATTTTCCCAAGAAGAAAAATAATAATAACTAGAAACGAAACTCGTTGCGAGCAACGAGAGGTCTTCCGTCTGATTCAGAAAAAAAAAAAAAAACAACGTAAAATCAAACTGAAAAAGTGATTTTAAAAATCGGAAACACGGGGGATCGAACCCGGGTCGCCAGCGTGAAAATCCATTGCGTTACCCATTAAACCTTTGGGAACCCAATTCAAATTTAATATTCCAGCATCGCGAGATTGCTTTTTTTGATTCCAACTTATATTACATTTTTTAAAATTCAGTTTGGAATTGTAAAATGACAGGCAGCTTGCCAAACTCTGCTCAAGATGATCACATCGGAGTTTGTTACTTGAGTTTTAACAGTAATTCTTAGGATAGATAATCTATTAGTGATGAACAGATGATACTGTTTTCTTTTCTTTTTTTTTGATATGTATTTAACTTTTTATTCCATGCAACTCCATATACAGGCATGCCAATGTTATATATTTTGTGCACTATTGTGCACTGCACACTCCATTTGTCTACTACTTAAGTCGGGTCATGATACTTTATTTCGTGCCAAGCGTCACAAGTAGCTCTTAACGCTATTCCTTTGAAATGTTTGATCTATTTGATGGATGTGATAGCTTCAATGAAAATTAGAAATGTATGTTCTTATAACCGGAGTTTCGAGCGTTAGAAAGTATATTTTTCACATTATACAAATATAATATCGTATACGGCCAAGTAACACTAAAGCTGTAAATTCGCTAAGATTTTCCATGAATTTTGTATCCTGTTTACCCCCAAAGTGGAGATGAGTTACACGTTCATGAAAAAACTGGAATGTTACACTGAAACAAAAAATCGCTCGCCCTCCGACGGTCAAGGAATCTGATACTATTTATGTTCAATAACTTGCATTTATTACAAGAATATTTATAAAACCTTTAATAAACAATCTTTTAAAAAAAATGTTTTTCTTATTTTTGTCTTTTCTATTCATTTAATATGTCACCAACCTGCGTGGAAAAATAAACAGAAGTCAAGTAATACTTCAGAAACATAGTGAATATTAAGTCAGGCAAGTTTCTTGAAAAGCTATTACTTATAACCATGGTTTAGGATAAGTTTTCCCTGGTGCAAAACAAAAGATTGTTGTCATCGTATTTCCACTTGTAGTCATGTTGTATTCTACTTTGAGATGCAGACAAAAGCAATTTCAATGGACGTTTGAGGAAACCTCATACAAAAACAATACCCAGTGCAACGTAATTTCGATGTAGCAATCTAAAGAATACCTTACATTTTATAAATCTTTTTGGTAGAAGTTTCGTTCATCTAAACGCTCAGCTGACCTTCTAGAACCCGACTTGCTTAATGGCGGAGTTCACGGAGATGCCCCGCCATCTTGGACACGCTTCAGATTTTTAAATGCGAATATCTAGTGTGTGGATTGATCAATTCTAAAATAAATTATATATTAGGCCTTTCCAGAAGGGTCTCCATTAATATTAATTATATCAAAGAAAAATATTGAAAAACAAAAAAAGTTGAAAAAGTGCACATTTTGAATTCACTTCCTGTAGCGACCGGAAGTACTGACGACGCAAACGAAGGCAAAATTGCACATTTATAACTCATGGTCTATCATCTCTAACAAGTCTCCAGTTAATATCTTGAGCCGTTTTCGAGAACATTCGAAGACAAAATTGCATTTTAAAATCAGGAAATTGCCCATAACTTGGCACTGGTTAAGAATTTTCCAACAAACGGAATTTTATATAAAATTCATATAATGACCTATAGTTCCTGAAATTTTCAATGAAATCCACTGAATAATTTACGAGAAATCGCCTGCACAAAATTTGGTCAGAAGAAAAAAGAATAATAATAATAATAATAATAAGAAACAATAGAATCACTATAAGGTCTTCCGTGAAGACGGAAGACCTTAACTAGAGCAAAGCTCGTTGCAAAGCAACGAGTAGGTCTTCCGTCATGTTTGACCGGAAGTGGCTTTCATTTTTAACAGAAATGAGAAATAACGTCCAAAAAGGGTTTGATTCCTCTAAATCCATGTTAATTATTGCAAAAATAAGCCATTTTCTGTTACTTCCGGTTTGACCGGAAGTGACGCCGACTGACGGAAAATTAATTATAATGTTCGTAGAGAGATATGTTACCAGAAAACTTGTCAAGAACGGCAAAAATACGCGTTTTCCGACTACTTCCGGTTTGACCGGAAGTGACGACGCAGGACGTATTTTGACGACTTCAATAGATTAAGCTTGACATTTTGAACAATTTTGCTTCTTTGATATATCACAAATTCTCAATACTTTTTGAGATATAAAGGAAAAACTTTCGGCCCCTCCAGGCCCCTGATTTAAGGGGCCAGCCCTTTTTTCGAGATGTCATTTGAAAGATCTTGAAATTCTACACCTTTTTTGTTCTACATGCTTTAACAAAATATTTCTATGTAAAAAGTTATTGTTGAAAAAGTGCTTAAAATTTTGAAATTCTTGATAGGACTATTTTCGGGCCATAGCGAGCGTCGGCGCTTCGTACTTCCGGTAGTTGTGATATACTTAGTGCACTTCTCCAAAAGTTGCTCTAGCATCACTGAAAATTTCAAGCTTCTGTGTTAAGTGCTTTTTGAGAAAACTGCCGGACAAAATGACCCTCTAAAAATCACTAAATCGCAGAAAACTCCGAACCGGAAGTGACGTCATCAAAATTAAAAAATATATATCTAGATTTTTTGATGTTCTATCAGACCTGAAAGTTTCATGAAAATCGATCGAGCCGTTCTCGAGAAATCGCGCGTACAAAATCGGTAAGAAAAAAAAACAATAATAATAAAAATAGTGGAAAAGAAACCTAAGAAAAACAATAAGGTCTTCCGCTGAAGACGGAAGACCTTAACTAGAGCAAAGCTCGTTGCAAAGCAACGAGTAGGTCTTCCGTCCGGTTTTGACCGGAAGTTCCGGAAGTGACATCAACACAAGAAAGCAATGAGCTAAGTTGTCTCCAGTGACTTTATAATTTCAATTTGCATCAAAACCTTCAAAATAAGCTATTTTTGGCTACTTCCGGTTTGACCG